TTTAGCAACACCAGGCATTCTTTCAAGATTATGCACTTATGTGCACACTTTTTCATCCTTATTGCGTGTAATAAAGGACGAAACAAACTTCAATTTTATATTTTGAAGACAGAGTAATGCCTAATGGACATAATTTTGTAGTAATTGATATATTTGTATGGTAAGCCAAAAACTCAAATACTTAATGGTAAATATATAAAATACATATTTAAACAATACTATAATTAATACCATATAGTAATAATTAATAACATATTAGCTTTCATCATCATCACAATCCACGGCCTTCATCTATAAAGTTTCTTGTCAATTAGATCTATCTCACTGTTCTCACAATTGCTTGTGTGGATTTTTGTATAAATACGTTTGCAAAGTTCAGTGCACTTCAAATTTGCCTTAAGGTGGCTCCCTAGGGTTTTTTAATTTACTACACTATACTATTCAGGAGACTCCTGTTTCTTTACTTTACATGATTTGAAGACGAAATTTATTGGACACATTGTGTTAAAAATATGTTGTCATGGCAACAGCATGCTTAGAATAAAGTTCAAATTTGTCTTTTTCAGGTCATTTTAAAAATTCCCCTCGGTGAAATTTTTTGAAATTTTGCGTAAAAGATAATACTTGTATAATGATTTTTTCCCCTCAACTTAAAAAAAATTAAATCGATACGTTTCTTAGAAAATTTATAAAACGTCAAAAATCAATATTAAAAGTTTTCACTTTGATTTAATTTTAAGAAAAAAGGATATTGCACTTGTTCATGTTCATGTTGTGCCGATATTAAAAAGTGTGCAAAGTTTTAAAACATTTTACCGAAGGAAAACAGAGAAATTTGGGTTTAATTTTGGCAATTTTTACTAGATTTTTACGCGAACAATTTAATGGCGTGTACATGCATTCTGCATAAAACAACAAGGCATGACTTTTTTTGAAATCACAAAATATAAATTATGTTTGATATACTGTTTATAACTGTGTCGGTTAATGGTCAACTAAGCGTGGATTATACATGTAAAATTGGCAAAGATATTTAGGTAATTACTGGTTATGACTTCTTGGTATTAATTTGAAAAATGTTAGTACTATCGTCGGATGTTTTCGCAAAATGCCCGTTCAAATTTCAGTTTTTATAGTGGTATGTTTGGAGTTTCGGCCCTGCTCATTTCACCCGTAGAGGGCTCATTATTTAAGTCGTCTTTATTGGAAACTTTGTGTCATATCCCAATGTTCGCGATCGAACCTCGCGTACGGCGGTTCCAAAAACTTCCAGAAGACCGCTTGAAAAAAAAAACAAGTTTACATTATCTTCTTTTGAAACAGCACATCCAAGTATCGTTTTGGCTTTTAGAACTCTTTTTATGCTTTCAACTAAAGCAAAGTTCACACTTTTGTTTCAAAAAAGAGTTCCATATTTTATAAAACACAACGTTCGTTCGTATTTTGAAGTCACACGAGTTTTAGTTTACATATATACGAAGAACGTAACCCCCGGAAATAAAACCCTAGGGAGCCACCTTAAAACATGCATGAGCATCTTGTTTGACAACCCATTTTGCATTTGCAACTATCCGGAGCAGATGCTGTCCGGATCAGATATTTCCCCATGAAAGAAAAAATGCATATATAGTACAAATTTGGATAAAAAGAGAAATTCAGAGGGAAAATTGTAACCAATAGAAAGAATGTTACCTGCTTTGTAGGAATGAGCTAAGAAATGCAATTATAAGTGCATCCATCTTCATAGTTTGATGGTGTATAAATGTATAGATTATAGACTGATGTTACAAATGTTGTATGGCAAATGTATTTTTAGCCAATTTGGGGTACCTTATTTTTAAAATATTCTGGGGGAGCATTAGTCTCCTTCATAGCCGCTATTTGTGTTGAGTTCCTCCTCACGAGCGGTTTCTCACTCAAGCACAGCATTCCGTTCCTTTTGTCTTTCGTTAGATATCTTTTTAATGTTTAATAATTCATAAATATCTTGTCTCAAGGTCATGTTTCCATTTAGAAGCATTACTGTGATCGGTTGTTTTCAGGAAAGGAATGTTGTGCTTGAGTGAGCCGCCACTCATGGGGAGAAACTTTGACACAAAGAGTGGCGAGCATAATTTATGTACCATGGACTTATTGCTCTCACTGCTGATAGGTGAAGCTATACCTGTCACATTTTAGGAAGAGTTACTCCTCTTCAACAAACATCTGGAATCTTAATAACATTTTGTCATAAATTAAATGGGTTTACCTACTTGCATTATAAATTTCCACTACATACAGCAGCAGTTACTACTGTATGTATAAGGTCACATAACTGCCACCTAACACATAATTGCTCTTCTGTCTCTTAGCAAAGGCATGTCACAAAGCTCTTCTGTCGTATTGAACAATTTTAAACTTAGTTAGAATATCTCAACATTGCAGTAAAGGCAAGACAACAGCACTTAAAGTATGTAGCAAGATTAAGCACCACAAATTCTTCAAATATGCATTCGAGGCACTTAGAGATGATTTACATCTTCCCGAGAGTGTCACCGCCCTGCTGGAGTGATATCTTTACGGCCAGGAAAATACCACATCGATCAGTAATGCCCATGGGGGACACAAGGCCCTGCTCCACACAGCTCGGCCCACTAACCAACTCGGCCCACCGTTCAAAGACAAACTCGTCCCGCTCCTAAACTGACTAATCTAACCATTAACAAGTTAAGAACCATGACTACGTTCTATCTTTGCAAAGTTTGAGAGAGGTTTGAAAAATCAGAAATTTAGATATTTAAATTAAGCCAAATAAATTAACTGGATGTTCTCTTGCGATATTGATTTAGAAATTGTTCAGAGCCAATTGCAATCAAACTTTACTCTTCTGTACGCCCAATGCAACTGTAAATGGCTGTATCGGTTTCGTGCTGCCTTTTGTAAAATATTAATAAACTTCCTTAGTTCCCTAATGTGTCAAACAGTAGTTATGAACTATTCGGCCGAGATGGTATGGGTCGAGTTGGTCAGTAATTTGTTAGCTACAAATGCAAAAATGGTTGTCAAAGCAAATTTAAAGTGCACTAAATTTTGCAAATGCGGCAATTGTGAGAACAGTGAGATAGATCTAGTTCATTGGATAGATCTAATTGACAATAACTTAGATGAAAGCAGTGGACTGTGATGATGATAAAAGCTAATTGTTATTCATTACTGTGTACTAGGTACTAATTATAGTATTGTTTAAATATGTATTTTATATATTTACTATTAAGTATTTGGTAGTTTTTGGCTTACCATACTGATACAAATATATCCATTACTACAATTATGTCCATTAATTCCTCTTATCTTCAAAATGGCAAAATATAAAATTGAAGTTTATTTCGTCCTTTATTACACGCCATAAAGATGATATAGTGTGCGCATAAGTTCATAATCTTGAAAGAATGCATGGTGTTGCTATATATCTTAGTACAAAGCCAGAAAATACGCTTTGGCGCAATAATATGTGAAACTTGAAAATCGTGAACTCATTGTTTACCTCAAATCTGATTTCACATATCTCGAGAGGAGGCGGAAGTGAGCTATCCTGTATAATTTTCACTATGGCGCGCGAGTCACTGGTTCCGAGAGTAGGCAATTTGACGTATGGCACATAGTAAAAATGCTGTTGCGAAACTCGTAAATTTTAAGATTTTGAGCGCAATTTACAAAAACACTGCAGGGTGAACCCGCAAGAACTTTTTAGATTTGGGTTCAGCGTAACTTAATCTATAAGAATATGTAAATTTTTTTTGGTCTAAAGAGGTGTGCAACGAAAATCGTTTTCTAGCCATCTTTTGGGGCACTAGACGACGGCCTATTAGGACCAATTCAATTTGACAACAATAGTATTCTATCTAAATAGCAGTAGAAATAAAGTGTACGGCACCTGAACTCTTCAATATCTTGCTTCTAAATCCATAAAACATTTACATATTTACACGCAAATACTGTATATTTTCAAAATCCGCCGTATTTATTTACATTAAGCCGGTTTTCCACTAGGCGGAATTTTGCGCGCGGAGCGGAATTTTTCTTTGTCTTGTGATTTCTCGGGTGGAACTAATTAGAAAAGACAAAGAAAGATTCCGCTGCGCGCGCAAAATTCCGCCTAGTGGAAAACCGGCCCAAGCTTTCGCGGTTTACATGACATATTACGCCGGTGATTTATGGATGATTTTCAGTAATAATGAGAGGGCAAGATCATCCAATTATTTCATCGCTCGAAGCGCGAGGAAACCATGTTTCCATATATGGCACAAACGTGTCCCCAGCTTCCTTATATGGCACAAACGTGTCCCCAGAATCCGTTATCGAGGCCGTTATGTTGTCATAAGATTCCTCGCGCTCGGAACGATTTGAACAGGTCACGTGGTACAGAACCCAGGCGGCTGATTGGATTAGCGAGTGACAACGCCCACTTTAATCCTACGCCCTAATTATTAGTGGAAATCACCGACGTAATATTTCGTGTGAACCGTGAAAGCTTGGGTTCTAATGTAAATAAATATGGCGGATTTTGAAAATATACAGTATTTGCATATAAATATGTAAATGTATTATGGATTTAGAAGGAAGATATTGAACAGTTCAGGTGCCGTACACTTTATTTTAACTGCTATTTAGATAGAATACTATTGTTGTCAAATTGAATTGGTCCTAAAGCCCGTGACTGTACCAAGCAAACCTGCCCTGTAAGCCTCGCAATGCCTCGGAAGGTCGTCTCCAATTGGATGGGGTTTTTCTAAAGAACGAAGCAATTCATTGTTCTGAACACAAAAGCAATTGTCAAGTCGGGCCAATGAAAATCACTCTTCCGAGCTACTGCAAGGCTACCCGCCTGCCAACGCGTGTCAAATTCAAACCATAGAAGTGATAGAAACTAAATTCAAAAATTAGTGTGACAACTAATTAATTAATTTAAATAATTTACCTTGGACGTATACCAGTATAATGTACTTACCGTAACGTTTTGTTTTTTTTATTCAAAGACGGCATGAAGAGGCACGAATGCAAGACGAGTTACGAAGGCAAGAAGAAATTCGATTACAGGAAGATTTGTTGCGACGTCAGCATGAAGAACTTATGAGAAGAAGACAACAAGAGGTAAGCCTCACCAAAAATTGTCATAGAGGAATATCATTAGTGTAAAGTTTCACTTTACACTATTGTGATGGTGGCAAAAATTCACACTTATCAGTCGGTCGGTCGGTCAGTCAGACAGACATGCATGCATAGAGTAAACTATCCGGGGGGTGTATACGATTTATGTTCGTAGTAATTTTATTGTATAACTCTCAAAACAACGATGCTTTAATCAAAGAGCTTAAATTCGCTCTGAAATCCGTGAGGGAATAACAAAATTCGCCCAAAATATATCCGCGTGCCGGGTTTGCTGGACAAAAAGCGGAAGTCGTTGAACAACTCAAAATACACTTAACCCTGATTGGACAACGAAAATCAACAAACATTTCAAATTTTTCTCCACTGGCACTGGGAAGGGGGACAGTACTTGGAACAGTACTGTAATAATTTGATTATTTGAATCAAAACAATTCACAAACGTTGTTATACTGACTAAACTTCTTAAATTTAAATATTTAGATTTGCACTGGTTTCCCCCCGACAACATTTGTTAATTGTTTTGATTCAAATTTATATTACATTACTGACTACAGAAATTTGAAATGTTTGTTGATTTTCGTTGTCCAATCAGGGTTGAGTGTATTTTGAGTTGTTCAACGACTTCCGCTTTTTGTCCAGCAAACCCGGCACGCGGATATATTTTGGGCGAATTTTGTTATTCCCTCACGGATTTCAGAGCGAATTTAAGCTCTTTGATTAAAGCATCGTTGTTTTGAGAGTTATACGGTATCTTGCAGGGGATATCGATTAATCGTGAAAGAAATGCATTAAAGGCGAAAAATCGAGGATAGTCTCAATGTTTCCTTCCTTCCCTCATTATAAGGAAGGCACAGGCGGGCGCGGGCAAATCGAGCCTGGGCATCTTGTGGTTGAGCGTGCAAATTTTTCCATCATATTTACGTTTCAAAAACGTTACGTTTTCTTGTTGATTACGTCACGTTTTGGGTGTGTGATGTACACTTTTCTTAAATTTGCGTCAATCTTTATATATTTATTTAAAGTGCCTATGCGACAATTTTTTTTTATGATTGAATTGCAAAGTTCATTTAAAATCATAATATAACTTGTTCTCTAAAACTTTGTAATCTTTCCTGTATGTCAAGGTTTTCGACTTTGTTTGATATACAAATGTGACTTAAATGACGTCACACTGCATAATGCGTTTTACAGAAGACTGTGTTGTAGCTTGTTAAAATTCTCATTATCTCAAATTTACAGACGAAATGATCGCTTTGATAGCTCTTAAAGTATATCACTTTTATTCAGTGGAATTATCACATGTTTGACAAGGAAACGTTTTCTTTCTAAAAACTCCATTATGCAGTGTGACGTCATTCAAGTCACATTTGTATATCAAACAAAGTCGAAAATCTTGACATACAAGAAAGAATACAAAGTTTTAGAAAACAAGTTATGTTATGATTTTAAATGAACTTTGCAATTCAATCATAAAAAAAATTGTCGCATAGGCACTTTAAAAAGTGTACATTGACACGCCCAAAACGGTGACGTATTAACAAGAAAATGTAACGTTTTGAAACTTAAATATCGTGAAAAAATTTGCACGCTCAACGCTTGATTGCAAATGGTAGTAATGTAAACATGAAACATGTCACATTCTTAGTACAGAAACAAAGAAACAAAACTCTACTGCATTACCAAAATGCGACAACACACATACAAGTATTACCCTTGCCATCTACTTGTCCATATAGTAATTTTAGTCGAAGTAGATCGCGCGCACTAAACATTTACATGTAACACGGCAAAAGATGAGATAGAGAGCGGAGAGCCGTCTAGAATTCCCGTTAAAAGGTTAGTTCATTTGACGAGCAAAAATAGAAAAAGTGGGCGTGTAATAAAACGGTTTATTAAGATCCAGACACACCGACGCGATTCGACAACGCGACGCGATTTTTCGATTTTCACTGACCGATAACTTTGATTCTAGTTTAAATTTTAGTCCGCGTGTTGTGATCCGATATCGTTCACTTTCATAAAGCATGTCTTAGATCTGAAATATTTTTACGGGAACTAACACTTTCGAACACGCTGAGTTCAAATTCGAAAAGTTCCCACTCCGTAGACCCGCAGTTTTTTCACAAAATGCTATTTTATCTTCACTAATTTCACAACAAATTTTTTCATTGTTCAACGATACGGATCGATGACGATACACGATTAGGTCACTCAAAAGACCAATTTCTATTAACCATTATTCCTTTTAACAAAAGATCGGTTTTGCTCGAATCATTTTGATTTATGCAATCTTATGCGTGTTGGACGTAAACAACATATCTTGTCTACAACTTTGAGAAGGTACAGATAACACTTTCTAAAATCGTCAGTTCTAGAGATATTTCTATAAAACCACAAGGACATTAATGCGAAGTCTTTTAGCTATGTCACTGGCCTGAAAAATAACTCTTTTAACGCGATCAAGTTATTTAAAACAAAAGTAACGCGAAGCCAACGTAACGGCAAAGACAGTGCTAACATGAAATATTGTCGAATGGTTGCTGCTAGAAGACTTAGGACAGGATCAATCTTAAATAACCTTAAACTATGAGAATAAATGTTCACATCAAAGACAAAGATCAGTCCAAAAGTATAAAATATGCTCTGTAAACTTACCACAAAGTGGAGAAATGTGTGCATGAGCTGTTTATTTGATGATTTCAACGTATATAGAAGCCCTCTTTCCAATAATATTCGCTTATTACACAGTATAACACCAACTGATGTAATAGTTCAAATGCAATGATAATTTAATCTTGAATTACGTCTCGGAAACCGTGTTGGAAATTTCAATGCTGATCCATTACATACAGATTACCGTTTTATATCTTTGTATAAAACATTTTGATCGCATGTAAGGAATTATATCTCATCCCAGAGACATAGCCCAAAGACTTGACATTAACGTCCTTGTGATTTTATAGAGATAGATCCAGGACTAAGGATTTTAGAAGGAATTATCTGTACCTTCTCAAAGTTGTAGACAAGATATGTTGTTTACGTCCAACACGCATAAGATTGCATAACTCACAATGATTCGAGCAAAACCGGTCTTTTGTTTAAAGGAAGAATGGTTAATAGAAATTGGTCCTTTTGAGTGACATAATCGTGTATCGTCATCGATCCGTGTCGTTGAACAATGTAAAAAATTGCTGTGAAATTAGTTAAGATAAAATAGCATTTTGTGAAAAAAACTGCCGGTCTACGGAGTGGGAACTTTTCGGATTTGAAATCAGCGTGTTCGAAAGTGTTAGTTCCCGTAAAAGTATTTCAGATCTAAGACATGCTTAATGAAAATCGTTTTCTAGGCACTTTTCAAGGTCCCAACACACGGACTATTTTCCAAATATTTAGAAGCGGTATAACATTTTGAGTTATTTGGTCCACATATCTTTCAAAATTTGCTCTTATTGGCTGTTTTATTAACTTTCAAAAACTAAAAAATCGCGTCGCGTTGTCGGGTTTTTAATCACTGTACAAAATTTCAGACAATTTGCTTTAGTTTAAGCCCCTTTAACTATCATGTTTTCCTAAAAAAATCGGCCTTTTGCATCCTTAATATTAATTATGCTGCAGTATGCAAATTAGGCAAATGCATTAATTAAGCATGCAAAGGCTTTTAGGAAAAAATGTAAGTTTGCGTGAATAGCTGAAGGGCTTAAACTGACGCAAATTGTCTGAAATTTCGTGCAGCAATTAAAAACCCAAAGCCATTTTTAGTTTGTTGGAAAAGACCCCTCCCCCTCCCGGTTTATAAAATTTGAGTTGGAGAATTTTTTCTCATTCTATATTATAAAACCTGGTTCGGACTAGCAATTTTGTCGGCGATTTTGTGTTTCTGACGGGTGCAAATGGTGAACTCGCACACAGAGGTATAGAGTCGCTTTTCAGAAGAAGTAAACAATTCTAAATCTTTTGCATGTCATTCCATTCTATCGCGTTACATTATGAACATTCAACAAGTTCTTTTTGAAAAACCAGATATATTTTGTTGTTTTTTAACAAGTGAATTTATCGCATCATACGTCCGAAAACGCAAAAGCTGCAGGTATTGTTCACGAGTTAAATACTTTGGTTTCTATTTGATTTAATTGACTTTCTAAGCTGATTGGTATTAATAAGCATATCAGAGTTTTCATTGGTTAAATTCAATGTTGTTTACGACTGTGTTCTATGTTCCTACTCATTTCTTCATTTTAAAGCCTTGTTGTTGTACTTCAGTTTTTGTGCTGAGAATTTGTCTTTTGGCCAGAAATAGAAGCAGAATCGGAGTAGTCAACAATGCTTGCAGTTCTGTTGCTAAAAATTATTTTACTCGTCAAAGGACAGGGCTGTGCCACTCAATGGGTTATAAAGCGCTTATTTTCAATGTCAAAGAGTGGTGCATTTTTTAAGCTTTGGCACGTCCAAATTTCCATGATATAAAACAGAAATTCTTCAATGTTTAGCCACAAACTATGGCGTAGCCAGCCCGACGATTTGGTCCCGCTATGCAAATTTCAACTCATTCATTTCTTTACAAATTGATTGTGTTGATAGTTTATAAACATGGCAATATTTGCATAGCGGACTTGGTGGGAAAAATTTAATAAGTACTGTTTAATAAACGAGCAGGAGTGTTTTATTAGGTTTAAAGCCACGAGCGCGCAGCGCGAGTGGCTTTAGCCCTAATAAAACATGACCTGCGAGTTTATGAAACGGCTTCAAACACGACTACAAATTCAATAGATATACTGCCTTATTAGTATTCTTTATATAAAGAATACTAATTAGGAGTGTTTTATTATGTTCAAAGCCACTGCACGAGACATATTATGGTAGACATGATTTGCCAATAAGCTTATGAATTATTAATGAGTGTTTGAAAGTATATTTAGCAATCTTGATATTTATTTTAAGGAAGCTGCGTTACTTCACGGCGCTCGAATGCCCCCTGTTCCTGCCTTTGGTCTTGGACCACCTGGCCCACCTGGATTTTTTAGTCCTGGCATAAGTCCTATTCACAACCTGCACCCAAGAATGCCCATGCCTCCCATTGGAAGAGGACTACCTGTGCCTGGTGACTCGGTAAGTACCACAATGTGGTGAGCTAAATACTTTTGTTATCAATTAAAAGAAGGCAAGTGTTAAGTTTGATTGTGAAAGCGAGCAGCTAAATAGGTAATCGAAGTCGCTAGTTGAGTGGTTTATTAATTTAATATTCTGGGCGGCATAGCTAGAATATGATATAAATGATATATTTACATGGTATTTATTTTGATTCGAGCAAAAGTATTCAGCGTAATCTACTGTTTCCTACCCATGATTAGATCTATATATCCAACTGATTAGATCTATATACCCTGCACATAACAGAACAGAACAGAACAGAACGAACAGAATATATTACGGGAACCACTGAGTATTGTCATAAAATACACAACAACAGTACCGAATATTCAAAGCAGTTAAGTGACAGTAAGCTCAATGGAAGACCGATACTTCACGTGATGCTTTGATGCCATGATAAACTTCCGGTTCTTGTTTTCGTATGGCGAGAAATTCTTTGAACAAGACGCCTGCTCAGGCGTTCACACTGGTCTTCGCGGCTGGTAAAATACCATCGCAATATTCTAAAAAAAAAATTTGAAATATATAGATGTACCTCATTTCTTGACGGCCGTCACTTCATGATCGCAAACATTCAGAAGTACGGCACAATAAAAATCCATACAAAACCAATAGAGTTAAGCGATATCAGCGAAAAACACAGAAAAAGTTCAAGCGCGCAATGAAATATAATAAAATACGTCCTACAATTACAGCGTCTAAGATTTGTAACGTAGTTAAATACGAAGCTTGTTCTGGTTAACATTGTGTAGAACTGGTCCTAACTCCAATCCTAATCCATGTCGTAATCATCTGAACATGTTTTAGCTAAATTGGGAAATCCGGAGCCCACGATGCTGCAATGGAAAGTCACACTTGCGGACAACCAAAAAAACCCTGAAAAGACCAAGGCCATTTTATGACACTGGCTGCGGCCAGTGTAATAATAATACAGACCAATGTTTAGTCTTCTCCAGGATGGAAGAGTTGTTTAAAAGAAATTGCGTCATGTCGAATGAGTCGTTTGTGTTACGTTTTCCGGTTCTAGACTTTCTATATCGAGTTGGAGTAGATTTGTGAGATAACTAATATGTTCGCAGGTGTTGATGTGTTTGTAAATCACAGATTTGTGTAAAGTGGCATGTTCGTTTAGTCTTGTGTCTGTCTTTCCTAAATAGGAGTTAGAGCACCCAGGGAAAGATAATTTTACACAATAGAACACTGGAATTTCTTAGCCTAAAACAACTGGTTGTCAATGTAATATTACATGGACTGCTTAGAAGCCGTGACAATTTCGTTCTGAAGTTTCGTATTAAGGCTCCGTTTACACTATACCGGATTACTTTTCACTCTAAAGTGAAAAAAAAGGTGTTTACACTATGCCGTTTCGCTCTTGTTGCCAGCTTATGTCTTTCACTGTCGCCATGGAAATAAGAGAAACATTTTTTGCCAATATACTAAAATTCATTAAAAACAAGAAGTAATATACGTGTTCTTTGTATAGTATAACTTTGTGTAAAAAACTTGACCACCAGACGTTGCTTCGTTTCGCTCTAATCCAAAATTGACGAATATTTGTTTAAATTTTGCTCTTTCGAAAGGGAAAAGTCAATGTTATTATCGTTGTCTTTGTCTTCGCCAGTAATAGTAACTGGTTGTAAGGCGAAACAAACAACAGCTATAAAGTATTGTAAAAGCGAGCGAATAAAGGCGACAATGTTAAAACATACACGCCAAAACCGAAGCGTACTTGGATTGGCCTGTTTACACTGCTCCGGCATACACCGGATTACTTTTTGCTGGCGAGGCAGCTCCCTATTCTTGATGTTACATGACGTTCTTGCTCTTTCATGCCCAGTTCCCGGCCGAGTTATATTGGGGTAACAGTACTAAATCCATGTCAGTTTTTGGGATGTAAAGATTATTCGGAGATTGTCGTCAGCTCGAGCACTCGACGACTCTTTGTTTTTATCGATTTTGATTTGATTTATTTTGTATTGCGCTCGCATGATTTCTCAGAATTTCTGTTACGAGCTTATTTACATGCAGTATGTTGGATTTTCACGATGCAAACACCAGCAATATTTTGAATAATTCAGCTAAGGATAGCTTTATTTCTTTCTGGTGATATACATGAAGGCATTTATATTTAGATCTGTTGTTTATTGTTCGATATAGAGGTAATACTTCTATAAACAATATAGTCTGTGTGTTGTGACCTCGAAAAGTGCCCAGAAAAGATTTTCATTAAGCATGTCTTAGATCTGTAATATTTTTACGGGAACAAATAGGCCGTTTGCTGTGACCTCGAAAAGTGCCTAGAAAACGATATTCATTTCACCTGTCTTGGAACTGAAATATTTTTACAGGGTTCGTGGCGGTCTTTGAAATTCTTGAAACTCTTTAAATTTGAATGCAGGTCTTTGAAAAGTCTTTGAATTGTGTGAAAAAGCGAAGAAAGTCTTTAAAAGTCTTTAAATTCTCCAGTGAGGAATTGATTATACGATTTCCTGGCTAATAAAATAGATTGATTGAAGCAAGATTTTCGCAAATATCGACGAAAAGGCGCATTTTTTTAGGATGTGATTTGACGGGACTAATTACCCGGGTAAAAGTGGTGCTTACACTCGCAATTTTTCGACAGCTGATTAAAACTGGAACTAACACTTTCGAACACGCTGAGTTCAAATCCGAAAAATTCTTGCTCTATAGACCTGCAGTTTTCTCACAAACTGCAATTTTATCTTCACTAATTTCACGCTCTTTTGTTAAAAGGAAGACTGGTTAATAGAAATTGGTATTTTTGAGTGTCATAATCGTTTGTGGTCATCGATCCGTGTCGTTGAACAATGAAAAAAGTTGTCGTGAAAATAGTGAAGATAAAATTGCAGTTTGTGAGAAAACTGCAGATCTACGGAGCGGGAACTTTTCGGATTTGAACTCAGCGTGTTCGAAAGTGTTAGTTACAAGACATGGGAAATGAAAGTGAATGATGTTGGGACGCAGCAAACAGCCTATTCTGAAACTTTCTGTAGCATGTAAAGAATGCGATTTCTCTTAAACAACTAGTTCTTCTATCCTGGACAAGGCTAAACACTTGTATGTATTATTATTCAATGAAGCTCGCCATACGAATACAGGAACCGGAACTTAATCATGCATGCCATCAAAACATATATAAGACAGTGTTATACATCTAATTTAATCCATTCCTGAAGATGACTAAAATATAGTTGAAGCGTAGAAAATAAAAATACTTTCAATATTCGGAGTTATTGTTGTTGTGTATTTTATAGCAGAATAACAGACATGCATATTAACAGAATAAGTAAGAATAACAGACATATTAACAGAATAAGTAAGAATACTCTCAATACAATTATAGTCACCGAATGTACAAAAGTTAGTTTTCACTTTTTTATATCTATTATGGGAATTGTTTCTAGGTCGAACTGTATTTATATCCATCTTAGAATATCAATATCTGGTGGCTAAGATAGACGTTCTGATACTTTGATACGTGTCACATGAAACAAGTAAATTGTTGAGCTGTCACAGTAACAGTAGCATAGCCAGCCCGCCGATTTAGTCCCGTTATATGCAATTAGTATAATTACATAGGTGATTATTGAAAATTCTCCACGCTGATTGGTTATCGTTGAGGTGATTATTACGCGATAATCACCTAAGCGATTTTCAAAATGGCGGCCGAAGCCGTTTTGTCAATTAAAAGACGAATAAATGTGCATTTTTAAATTTTTTCCCAAATAATCACCTATGAAATTATACTAAAACAATTATTCACCTCAGGCTCGGTGATTATCGTGAATAAAAACCTCGACTTCGTCTCGGTTTTTATTCACCGATAATCACCTCGCCTTCGGCGAATAATTGTTAAATATTTTCTTGTTCATTGACTGTGAAAACAATCAATTTCTAAAGAAATGAATAATGATAATCATTTGAAATTTGCGTAGCGTGACCAAATCGTTAGTATTGTTATTGAAGAATAACAGTTATTATTGTCTAGGCAATATTCGGTAGTCCTTATTCTAAGAGGGTGTCATGATGGTTCCGTAACCATTAAATTATAGGATCAGTATAATTTGTTTTGGTCTGTGGCGAACGCCATATTAAATTTAGTGAACATACCTACATGTAGGGCTATTTTAAATTTTGAACATAAATATTCGTGTGCCGTTTTGGTAAATTGCCAACCACGTACCCAGGTCTTTCCTCTTTGCGAGGGGAGAAAAGACCCTGGTAGGCGCTGGTCATGTGATCTGCTAAAATCTAGCAGATTTTTAATTAGCAATCCAAGATGAGGTCAATTAATATTTGATATTTGGATGATTTTTATAGTTTGGTTTTTTTTTTGCATTTTGTATGATTGTCGTGAAGGAATTCAAGCTAGTTAATTAGATATCTGCCAGATTTTAGCAGATTACCATTCTCGTACCCAGAAGCGTTCTTACACACGGTGCGACGAGGGGCTCTGGCCAAATCCAAAACCGGATACCATAAACACATGGTAAAAGAACATATCCGGTATTAGAACAACCTTCGTTGTAGCCAATCAGATGCCAGTTTGATATGGATTTGGCCAGAGCCCCTCGTCGCGCTCCGTTGACCGCGCGTAAGAAGGGCTCGGTACGAGAATGGCAGATTACGTGACCAGCGTCTACCAGGGTCTTTTTTCCCCAAGAGGAAAGACCCTGCGTACGAGGTTGGTAAATTGCAAGGCTAGCAAGAACTTTGTGTTTTGCATATCCATGAATCACTAAGTGACCTGTGTAATTTTATACAGTATTCGGATATATTTTCATTACATACAGCAAACATAGATTGCATTTGACACAATCTTGTACTGACTTGTATAGTGTTCAATAAGTCGATTCTCACGGCGGTCTCATGACACCTATTCGTTCGATTCTCACTGCGGACTCATGAAACCAATGTTGGCAGTGTTGGTTGGGATAAGCCCATAGATATCTTATATACACTAGATAGTGCATCTAATTATTCTGCAATTCAAAAATTGAAGCCGTGATTGCAGTCTCAGGTCGTTCCCATGAAATGAGAAGATTCGTATGTTTTCTATTTCTTAAACAGGGAACTTAAACATTAAGTTAACGCTATTCCAAATACATTTTTAAACTATTCAAATGATGAAAGTTATTGTTGTTTTTAAGCGTTTATTAGCTTGTGGGAACGACCAACATGGCCGCCATGTATTCAAATGGGGGTAACCGCTGGAATATTCTTGGCTTCAATTTTACTAAAAGAGTTGCGCTATCTAGTGTATATAAGATATCTATGGATAAGCCCCAACCGAACCCTTCCATCGTAGCTGTGCCCTGGATCCTTTAATCAGCTTGCAACTCAACGACACGTCAAGCTGCGTCCTTCGTAATTCAGTTCTAAACTGCAAATAAGGTTATGATTAGTAGCACATCCTCACTTACTCAGCTTGCTTGCTGGCTTGGTGAAGTGCATGGTGTAAGTGAGAAGTCATAGGGTTGAGGTTATGTTAATTTTTGGTGTATGAGCAAATAATAATTATTTACCATACTGTAGCTGCTTTATTTATTTGTTAGGTATGTACATACGATTTGTCACTACTTGCCCTGGGGATTGGGTGAAATATTTGTAATCCTGATAAGAGTACTGCATTCACAAATTGATTGATTTAATTTAACCATTAATTTATCCGATGTAGAATTAAAGAATTATGTGTGGATGGTATAATATACATAAATGTAGAAGTTTATTTATTTATTATAAAATATAAACAACGATTGGAAATCCACAAAAAACCGATGCCAATCACCTCGGATTCATTCATTACTGTTTTGCGATGGACATCATAGTAGAGAATATTATACAGTACCTTAGAATCAGTTCTTGTTTAATTGAATTTTTTCTTTCTATTTGTTGCCGGATTTTTAAATATAGAGGCACCATGGAATGATGGGATATGACTTAGATGGTGACCGTGGACGTGATCGTAGGCCAATGGATCGAGGTGATCGTTCACGTGCAGGCCCGCGATATAATGATCATAAGTCACACGATCGCTACTGAGATGGGGAGAATAGATAATCTTGACTGAACAATAACAGATTTGCTTTAAATGTGCTTGTTGTATACAATAAGATTGTTGCATTTTTTATGAAGACTTGATAGTCGAAGTTGTTGCTGTTTTTAAAGAATTTGCGCTTTTGCAAAATGGCTCTGAAACTTGTGAATTGACAAATAGAGGAGCCTGTATAGCCGATATGAAGACAAGTTTCAAATTTGTAGCTGGTGGAAATTATTTCGCCGAGGTCAAGTTCTTCTAGAAACAATTTTTTTCGATTTTTATGATAGTATAACACTATTTGTGGGATTGAACTTTACTTATAAGATAGTGTTTAATTAAAGTGACATGATTCTTAATTATTGATGTGCTCAACATATTTGATGTTTTACATAGGTATTATATTACAGCATGGAGATTATAAAGTTAATTTTTAGTAGACGTGATTGACTGTAAGAATGTTTTTGCTGTGATATTTTGAGGAATCATAGCTGCCTTAGTGTGAAGGGTTGAGGTAAAATCGCATAATTGCATTGTAAAGTTAAACATGTTTTGTTAGTTTTATATTTTTATTGAATACTTTTAAAAACGAAGAGATTTCTCATCCTGCAAACAACCAAGCTATAATATGAGAGCATAGCTACTGAATGCAGCAGCGCAGATGTTAAAATTGTATTTGCTAGGAATTTGGATCTGAGCAGTATTACTTGATTGAACAAAATTTATATTTATGAAATATATGCAGAGCATACTTTCATTGGAGAATGTGATTATGATATATTTATATATTAGATAGCTATTTACATATTACTATGAATCGAATTAAACCCAGGTGGCTTATTTCTTTCAGGGTTGTTTGAGGGCAGGGAGAGTTGTGGTGATTAAAGTATACCCGTCTGCACTCAAGCTTTTAAACGACGCTTTAGGGTAGTATTAATTTAATTTGATAAGCATATTTTGCCATATTTGGTATTGCTTGCCCTGAAGTCTGAATTCTTTGTATCTAAGCAAGTGTACGGAGTGGTAATTAAGCCGGGTGTTGGTGGCACAGTGGTTTCACCTCTTCCACCCGGTGTTTTCTATCCCTTCAATGTTGCTATAATATACTAGTCTGATTCTAATTTTACCTTGAAAGTGGGTTATAAAATCAAAAGTCACAATATCTGTGACAACATCAGTACCTTAAGTTTGTAATCTAAAGATAGTAAATGTATAAAGATTAGTATTCTATTCAATATCGCTCTCATCCATGAATGCTCAGTTAAAAAATGTATGGGAGAAAATATTGGTCAGTGTAATCGAGACAAGCTGGAACAGCTTGGCTCTGCAGACGGTGCCGGCGGCTTGAGATACGACCTACACGAAGCGGAGGGTACCCGGGTTGGCTGGTCACTACTGCACGTCTGATCAGTAGAACTGCGAAAGAATGCGGTGTTTGGCCGGATTTCATATTTATATACAGCTCCTCAGTTTGCACAGATGACTAAGTAGTCGTGTTTTATACCATATTTTACAAGTGCTAAGAATAGTGAAAGATGATGATCATATACCTTATTAAAGTGTATTCCCTTTAGACAATTCTCGGGTACGTAATACTTCCATTAGACTAGTACAGAGTAATAATGAATGAATACAAAAATAAGCAAATATTATGTTATATACGCTAGTTATGCCATAATTCAATATTCTACTCTAAAATAGGACAATTATTAGTTACAACAAAGGAAGGAAGAACACACATCATTGAATATAATATGTTTCTTAAATTAAACGAATCGGTTTTTCTAAGGTTTCAATGTTGGAATGAAATGTTGGAATGAGATTATCGCTGTCAACTCTCTTCAGTTCCTTAGTCAATGTCGCATCATAACCGTTAATGTATCGTAGGTAAGCTTGGCACGTTTGCTCTTTACTGAAATTGCATACCAGATTCGTAGGTACGCGTGTTTCAACTATCCGGTTAGGTGCTGCTTTGGAAATGTATAAGATAGTTATGCAAATAGTAGAGTTAGTGATCACCAGCACACATCGTCTAATCATGATTCGGCAATATGGATCCGAGTGATGAGCTGGTAAATATTTCATTGGCTATCTGCCCAACTCCTTAAGGATAGGCCTAGCATTGGTTTAAAATCCATAGACTGTTAGCTTGGACAGTACATGCATGTATAAATACATGCTTTGCGTTCCTACTCGCCATAGATGTATCCAGCTAAACTACAGCATTTAGCACACATGGTGGTAGAAAAGTGCATCATAGCTTTATTTTGATTGGTGTTGTTTTTAGGACTTCTTAAACCTCACTAATTTCAAGCAATTATGAGTATGCTGCTTCAAAAAAGGAAAACTGAATTTGTTCTAGATGCTATTCGCCTCGTCAGCCGGCATGGGGTCCTCATCTTTCTGTACGAAACGAACATCTCTCCTATTTGAATGAAGTGCAGTTGGTTACCCTAGGACTCCCTCTTTTTCAAAAAATCGAACGCTGTCGCCTTAATAAGGCAGACAACGCGCAATTCAAATGGAGAACCCTCAGCGCGTAGCTCGCAAAGCGGTTTTGAGTGTATCCTGTGACTTGTAGAACGTAAGAAAGAACGAGATACATATTAACATTTATGTAATGGATCTAGACAACATCATTGCTTTCTCATTTTACCCTATACGCTTCATACACTTTATGAATTGCAAACAAACACTACACAGTATTTTGATCTTTATATTTTTTAGGGACCCTGTAAATGGAGCAATAAGCTCACTGTAGGGTTAACCTGTCATTTCTGACTAAGTTTGAAAAAAAAACACAACAAAAAACCCCATTATTATTGTTAAATTAAGCTCTACGCCTTAGTAACGTTTTGCAACAATATATTTTTGGAGACTTTATAACCACATGTTGTATTTAGATTATTCCGGAACGTACAAGATATGCACAAACTCAGGTAGTGAATAACTAGGCTCAGTTTTTAGTGTGAAGTTTCACTTCACACTATTGTGATGGCTGGCAAATTCACACGAATCAGTCAGTCAGTCAGTCAGTCAGTCAGTCATTGAGTAAACTTTCCGGGGGGTGTATACGATTTATGTTCGTAGTGATTTATTGTACTTAGTCAGTACTTTGAAGTACATATTCTGTTATCGTTTTGCCAAGTTCACAAAAATGTCGAGGAATCGCTTTCGTTATTGTAATTTTTTGTAAATGTTAGAACATTCTCTTCTCATGTTGTGTAAAGGATCTTTACCCCGGAACACCCGATTTTTTCTTTAGTAGCGCAAATGCGCATGCGCTATCAAGCCGTAGATCACGATGGCGTGACGATATGCTAGGAAGGAGTGACAGTGTTGTTTTCAGATGTATAAACATTTCAGACGTGAATATTG